TATTCATATATATATATATATATATATATATATATATATATATATACTGTTCTTGTAACAACTGAATTTCAAGCATTGCATCATTTTTGTTGGGGAAGCTAACATGTCATATCAGAAACTGTCAGCAGCAAGCAGCAACTGACTGCAGAGAATAATAATCGTCCATCTCTAGGCAGAAATGGAGGCTTTTGTGTAGATAGGCAAGATGTAGACACAAGCAGAGGGATAAATGATGACCCACCACTTACCACACTTTTTTTTCCTTTTAATAATTGGAGTGAGAACTCAGCATCAATTTCATTCTTTCCCTCTCATCCACTTTCAGTCACTGCTTCTACTGCTACATGTATTCATTCAGAGGATGACAAGAATGAATCAACAGCTCCTGTGTTCATCTACAAGGTAACCTCAGGATTTGCCTTTATTGCTGGAATTGAGATCACTCTCCTTATTGGTTCTTATTCAATGATGAATTTGAATGTACACTGTCCTTCAATCAGAAGCAAGGAGTGCTTATAAAAGAGACAGCATTATGAGCTCTTACCAGTCAGGCTCTGGCCATATTCCAGGACACAGTGGGTCCTGGGTGTGGCTAAAGCCCAACTATACACTGGATAGGCAAGGCAGACTGCTCCTGACATGTACAGGATTCACAGCCTGTGGAAATCCCAGCAAAAGCAGGGATTGTTTGATTCCCTTGATTATAAGTACTAGTCACCTGCTCTGTCTCCTGTGCAGGATGTAGCATCCTGCTTGTGAAGCAACTGCTTCTCTGTTAAGATTTGATATTGCTGTGTCAGACTTGAAATGCTGTATCATCTGTTAGGAATGTTGTCCATTGCATACATTAGTATATGACAGATACTGGCAGAGTCAGGTTCTTTTCTTCAACCTGGAAAGCTACTGTGGGAGATATTCCGGCATAGTGAGTGTTCACTAACAACCCCTAGAGTTTAGATGTATAATATTTAGTGACATTTGTTGAAGAAATCTTAACTATCATAAAAGGCATGCTTTCACAATTAAATGTAGTACAAGTAATTGTTTTGATCACCCTGTTGCAATATGTCATCACAGATTAATCTCTCACAGCTTGATTCGATGTCTCATTGAATTTGCCATTTAAAAGCCCTAGCCCATTCCTCTTTATTTCATGAGGCCAGACATGAGATTTGTTGCAAATCAATTATTTACTGGTGCTGAGTGGATGGTATTTTATATTTACCTTCTAAATAATTATACTCCAGTTTTCTTGTTTCTTGGTTATAATTTGTTTGTTTGTTCTTTTTTTTTTTTTGGTTTGTTCTATAAGTGTGCAGATCTTTTCTCTGTAACCTCCACCTATGAACTCCTCTGTCTTATAATACATTGGAAGTTAGATAACACTGTTCCTATAGATTCATCTACCACCTCTGAATCTGTTATATTTTTTCTGCCTTCTTTACAACATAGAATATTGATGCTTTCTGGGTTCGAGAGGTGAAGTCAAGTAACATGACTAATAGTACACCCAAACCTGCCAGGCATATAGAGAGACCCCAACTGCACATCCTTGCTTTATTTCCCATCTAGTCCATGATGGAAGTCCCTGGTTAGAGACATTTGATGCCCAGATCCAACAGTAACATATATGGGAACCCAAAGAATTTTGATGTGAGACCTGAGCTTGCTTTACCAGAAAGGCTGTGTAAGACTTGATTAGACCATGTGGCTGATTTCTAAGTGTTTTGAAGCACCTACAATTCTTTATGACAATTGGATATGAGGGTAAATTTATCAATTTTAATGACAGTTTTTAGGTGCTTTTACCTGCAGTTTGAAATTAACAGAGCCAGGAGGGAATTAGAAACAAAATACCTATATTAATGGATTAGGAAGCAGTCAATAGAAGGTTCATCGTGCTAAGAAATGTTAAAGTGACATTATTTTATAAAAAGAAGAAGAGAGTACATAACTTTTCATATTTCAATATTTTGAAGTCTAGGGTATTTCCTCAATATAGCTCTTGTGCAATGTATGAGATACATTGAAAGAAGTGTGGAGATACTGGGTTGATGCTATATTTTGATCTAGGAAGCAGACACCCACGTTTGAAAGTGGTGGAAAACAAGGATAGCATCAGAGATAGGAAATTTATGAAGTTATTACTTGCATAATCAAAAAATGTGTGTTTTCTGAGGAATATCCATTAAATTAATTTATGCTTTCCTGAATATAGTCTACACCATAATGTATTTGAATATATCAGCAAACTAACTGTTCAGAATTATGAAGAAGTTGGAAATATTATAAGAATATACATATTAAATTATGGCAGGTTATTACCATCCAATTCTAGGACAAAGGCATAGTGAGTGGATAGTGAGAGTAAAATACCTGAGTTTTACTGGACAGTTTGCTTAACATATTCTGAGAATTTCATAACTGTGTACAAATAGTAGATGCACTTTTTAATTAAAGATGAAACATCGGAAGCTTATTTTGGCTTAAATTCTGATACATGGGATAAACAAAAGAACGATACTGCCATGTCTCACTCTACCAACTCCATGAATCCTCTAAATGAATGTCTCTGAGTCCTTAGCCAAAAGCTATCCAGGTGAAAAGCCTCTAGTTCCTGTTTCTTCTGGCCTTATATACCTTAGTGTGTCCAGCCATCACTTCTTTTCTAGTGCTGGGATTAATGGCATAAGTGCTTCCCAAAACCTGGGATTAAATGTGTAAGATCTCAAGTGCAGGTATTAAAGGCAAATGACCACCAAGTACTAGAATTAAAGGTGTATTCCAATAATGCCTGGCTTTGTTTCTTCCTTAGAATGAATCAATCTCATCTAATCCTGCATAGCTTTGAAGGCTCAGAGATACACACAGATCTCTGCTTCCTAAGTGGTGGGATTTTAGATGTTTGTCACCATTTCCTCGCCTCTATGTTTACTCTAGTGGCTTGTTCTGTGTTGCGGTCTTCAGGCACATTCTTTAGGGAACAAAATATATGACCACACATACATGAGAGAAACACTATCTCTATCTGACTTTGATGTGCATGTCTACATGTCACTAATATGTGATGGCCATTTAAGCATACCTGTAGTCTGGAAACTGTATCAGCTGCATATTCATGGATAATACCTTCACTATAAATCCCAGGGAACATTCTCGTGTAACATGTGGAAGAATGGTGAATTAAAAAAATGTATGAGTGGCTTACATTTTTTAGTAAGCAGACAAATGTGGAAAGACAGATTTTCTCCACTATTCTATCCCTGGTATTCTACCCATGTGCTAGTAGTTATTCTCAAACCCATGCATACTCAGATGATTTGCAGGAATACAGATAACCAAAAATAGAGCAAGTACATGATCAAAGGATGGAGTAGTATTTGCAGACTAGAGAGATTCTAGTGAAGGGTATGCAATAAATTTGTTCCAAATTTCAATTGTTACATGTTAATACTGAAGAGGAAAATTTAAGAGTATGAAGTGGTAACGTGAAACCAATATTAATTCCAAATACATGCAGACATGTGTAGAACCACACCAAAAATCAAACAGACAAATGTTCAATTGCCTAAGGTATATATGTATCATGAATATATCTTTCTAAAAGGAAAATATTAGATTATTCCTTAATCAACATGAAACTGTAAGATAGGATATGCAATTTAGGAATGTTCAGAGCAAGTCTTCAAATTCATATCTCTATTTACAATACAAACATACAAACATCCATTTTCAGGCACTATACACACACACACACACACACACACACACACACACACACACACACACATATATATATATATATATATATATATATATAGCTCATGTCACAACTGAATTTCAAGCATTTAATCATTTCTGTTGAGGAAGCTAACATGTCATATCAAAAAATGTCAGCAGCAAGAAACAACTGGCAGCACAGAATCATAATCGTCCATCTCTAGGAATAAACGGAGGCTTTCATGTAGATAGGCAGGATATAGATACCAGCAGAGGGATAAAGGATCACTCCCAACTTGCCACTGGTTGTATTTTTCTTTTTGATAATTGGAGTGAGGACTCAGGATCAATTTCATTCTTTCCCTCTCATCCACTTTCAGTTTCGCTGCTTCTGCTGCTACATGTATTCAGAGGGAGACAAGAATGAGTCAGCACCTCCTGTGTTCATCTCCAAGGTAACTACAGGATTTGCCTCCATTGCTATAACTGAGATCACTGTCCTTATTGGTTCTTATTCTCCGATGAATTTGAATGTACACTGTCCTTCAATCAGAAGCAAGGAGTGCTTATAAAAGAGACAGCATTGCGAGCTCCTACCAGTCAGGCTCTGGCCATATTCCAGGACACATCAGATCCTGGGTATGACTAAAGCCCGACTATACATTGGATAGACAAGGCAGACTGCTCCTGACATGTACAGGACTCAGAGCCTGTGGAAATCCAAGCAAAGGCAGGGATTGCTTCATATCCAGCTTTATAAATCCTAGTCACCTGCTCTATCTCCTGTGCAGGAAATAGCATCCTGCTCCTAAAGCAACTGCTTCTCTGTTAAGATTTGATATTGCTGTGTCAGACTTGAAATGCTGTATCATCTGTTATGTTAGCAAGGTAATCAATTGGAGACCTTTGTATATGACAGATGCTAGTGGAGTCAGGCTCATTCACCCTGGGAGGATACAGTGGGAACTACTCTGGCATTGTCAGTGTTCCGAAGAAATCTTAGAGTCTATGAATATATCATGCAGTGATATTTGCTGCTGAAACCCTACCTGTCACAAAATGCAGACTTTCACAATATAATGTATTGCAGGATATTAAACTGTTATCATTATGTTGTCATTTATACTCACAGATTCAACGTTGCAAGCTTGATTTGCATTCTCCTTGTATTTTGGCATTTACAAGCTGTAGTTCCTTTGTTCTTCTGTCTTAGAAATCCTGTTCCTTATTATGTCATCAAGCAGGCCTGAGCTTTGTTGGAAATCAATTATTTACTGCTGCTGAGAAGATGGTATTACATATTTCCCTTTTAAGTTATTCACACACCAGATGACTTTGCTCTTGACTATGATTTGTTTGTTTATTTGGTTGTTTTTTGTGTAACTGTGCAGATCTTGTCCCTGTAACCTCAGCCTCTGAATTCTATGTCTTGTCATACATTAGACACTAGATAGCACTGTTCCCACAGATGCATTCACTGTTCCCACCCCTAAATCTGTTATATTTTTTTCTACCTTCTCTTTGACATAGACTATGGATGCTTTCTGGGTGGGAGAGATGAAGTCAAGTAACATCACACACAGTACAGCCAAGCCTGACAGGCATATAGAAAGAACTCTTCTGTACATTCTTGCATTATTTTCCAAATTTTGCATGATGGAACACCTCTGATTAGAGACATTTGATGCCAACCTTGAAAGGGTACATAGATGGGAACTTACGGGGTTTTGCTAGTGAGATCTGAGCTTGCTTTTCCAGCAAGGTTGAATAAGAGGTGATTAGACCATGGGCCTCATTACTAAGTGTTTTGAGGCATTTACACTTGTTTCTAACAAGTGGAGATGGTGGTAAATTTATCAATTTTACTGACTTTTTTTATAGTTCTTTTAGCTGCAATTTTCTAATTCATAGAACCAGGAGGATATGAGGGGAAACAGTGGCTATATTAATGGCTTAGTAAGCAGTCAATAGATGCTTCATCGTGCCAAGAAGTGTTAGAATGACATTAGTTTTAAAAAGAAGAAGAGAGAACATAACTTTTCAGTATTCTGATATTTTGAAGTGCAGGACATTCCTCACTGTAGCTTTTGATTCATATATGAGGGATTACAAAAGCAGTGTTGAGATACTATGTTTTTATCTAGGAAACAGACAACCAAGTTTGGAAGTGATGGAAAAAAGGATAGAGTCAGAGAAAGAAAATTCTTGGAGTTATTGGTTGCATAATCACAATATGTGTGTGTTTTCTCAGGAATATCCATCAAGTACTTTATGTTTTCCTGAATATAGTCTATTCAACAATGTAGATGGGTATATCAGCAAGATAACTGTTCAAAATTATGTAGAACTTTGAAAAATTATTAGAATATACAATCAAAATATGATATTTTGCATCACTATCCAATTCTTGTAGTGAAGACATAGGTAGTGGATAGTGAAAATAAAATCCCTGAGTTTTAATGAACAGTTTGCTTAAAATATGTGGCAAATGCCATAGCTGTTGTACAAATAGTAGATGGATTTTAAATAAGAAAAAAATAAAACAAACAAAAAACCAGAAGCTCATATTGGGGTAAATTATGACAGATGGGAGAAACAAAGGAACAATCCATTGCCATGTCTCATTTTTCCAACTCCATTAATCCTCTGAATGAATGTCTCTGAGTCCTTAGATGAAAGCTCTCCAGGCAAAAAGCCTCTAGTTCCTTTATCATAAGGACTTATACACTTTTGTCTGCCCAGCCAGCACTTCTTTTCTAGTGCTGGGATTAATGGCATATGTAACTTTCAATTACTGTGATTAAATGTGTGAGATCTTAAGTGTAGGTGTTAAGGCAAATGACAACCAAGCATTCAAATTAAAGGTATATTCCAACAATACCTGTCTTTGTTTCTCTCCTAGACTGAGTCTATCCCATATAGTCTCTTGTAGATTTGAAGGCTGTCAGATACAAACAGATCACGGCTTCCCCACTGATATGATTTCAGGTGTATGGAACCACTATGTTTAATCTATTAGTGTGTTCTCTCCTGTGATATTCACATATATTATTTAGGGTACACAATATATCACCATTCATACCGGGAGAAAACGCTATATCAGTGTGACATCGGTGTGCAACTCTGCATGCCACTAAAATGTGCTGGCTATTTAAGCATAACTCTATTCTTGCAATTGCATCAACTGCATGTTGATGCATAATTCTTTCACTATGAAAACCAGGGAACATTCTAATGTATCCTGTGGAAGAATGGTGAAGTGAAAAATGTATGAGTGTCTTATTTTATTTAGTAAGCTGCCAAAAGTGGAAAGATAGATTTTCTCAACTATTCAGGCCCTGAGATGTTGCCAATGGGCTAAATTTTTGCTCACATTCATGCATACTCAGGTACTTTACATGAACAAAAATAACAAAAAATAGAGTAAGTACATGATCAAAGGATGGCGGAGTAATTGCAGACTATAGCTGTGATGGTAATGTAGTGAATTTGTTCAAAATATGAATAATCACACATTAATCCTGAACAGGAATTTTTTTACATTTTTAAATTTTATTTTACAATACAATTCAGTTCTACATAATAGCCACAGATTCCCTTGTTCTCCCCCTTCCTGCCACCCTCTCTTTCCCCCCAGCACACCCCGCATTCCCACCACCTCCACATCAAGGCCACCCCCGAGGACTGAGATCAACCTGGTAGACTCAGTCCAGGCAGGTCCAGTCCCCTCTTCCCAGATTGAGCCAAGCGACCCTGCATAAGTCCCAGGTTTCAAACAGCTAACTCATGCAGCAAGCCCAGGACCTGGTACCACTGCCTAGATGCCTCCCAAACAGATCAAGCCAATCAACTGTCTCACCTATTCTGAGGGCCTGATCCAGTTGGGGGCCCCT